TTTATGATAAATATCGATAAATTTCTATTTGCGATATTTATCATAAGTCGATATATATCGATATGTAACTAAATTATCGATATATAGCGATATATTTTAATCGATATGTATCGTTTTTTTGCTATGTATCGATAAATATCTATCTAAAAAATTTCCTGATGATTCTTATACTAAAAAAGATGTGATCTTCAATATTCATTTTTGAAAATTATTTAAAGTGGGCGGGATCACGTGATATCCAGCCAATCAAATTATAGAATTTTGATAATAGAAATAAAAACAAAAAACCTGAAAAATACAAAAAACAGTAGTCTAAACCTACCTCAGGTAAGTTAATTAAAAATATCAGAAAGGCAATTTTGCTTATATATAATTATCTAAAATTTGACCTAACCCCAATATAAGATGACCCTAACCCTAAAGTTAATTCAATAAAATATATATTATAAGAAACTGCTTCGCTTTAGATGTCCCCCATTTTTGGAATATTCCCAGACTGTATCAACCTAAAAAATTTCACTAGCCAATCAGATTTCAAGATAAGGTGAAATCAACATTTTATCTATGCAACCGCGAAATTTTTGTATTACCAAAGTTCTTTCTAATCTACCTTCATAGCAAAACCTAACCATAATCTAACAATGAAATTTTTTTAGCGAAATTTTTTAGGTTGGTAACGCTAGATCAGTTTTAGCGATACACATTTGTCCTGGCAGTAAACGATTATTAAAAAATGGGTAAGTGTATAATTTAACGTTTTTTATTCGTCTAACCGTATAAGATAAATAAACGGTTATAGACGGTTAAACGGATAACGGTTCCAATCCCTATTACTATTGACAACACCGATTATTGTTACGTAGTAAAATGTTTGGTTACTGTAATTTTATTGGTTCTGGATCAAGAATTTTAGGTAGGGATTTAAACCCAAACCAGCTTGGAATATTATTTTCTAATATAATAATCCAATTTTGTATCCAGTTTAGCAAACCAAAAATAAAATTAAGTTCTTACAATTTTTTGTACATTATACGATTGAAACTCAACGTCTCGTTTACCCTCACATAATTGTAATCATATGCAAATTTCAGTCCGACGCAACAAAAAAACTTAATATTCAGGAAAAAAAAAAACATAAAAAGGATTGATTAAAACATGAAAAATAAAGTTTAAAAAAAAAATCAAAATTCCGGAGAATTGAACTGCGCCCTCGATTGGTGTGGGTTTGAAAGTACGTTATTAAATAACCCTATTCCTTCCAGTTGTAACGCGCATCTATTAATGCTAGATGAGCTAATACCCGTATATATAGAAAATACCGGTTTTTTGTTGACAGCCACTACATTGTCCTGACCACCAGCGCATGACCAACCGCCATTATCAGCGAAACACATTAAACTGTTGAATGAGATACCATGACCGCAGTTTGTTGTTGCCCAACCATTATTTACCGGGACATTACTTAGTGGTCTACAACTATTTAAAGAATTATCACAACATAACCAGGTGAAAGCCATATCAGTAGTCGGACCAATCGATAGTGCATTAGCTACAGCATCAAGAGAAGGACACCTATTTGAGTCATTCGCATTCGAAAAATTAGTTGCTATTGTATTACCCACTATTCCTCCACATAAACCTCCATATGCGCCAGTCCTACTGGAACCGGTAGTAATGCAAAAAGTCGATCGACTCATATTAACGCACTGAAAAGTTATATCCAATTCGGAGAAAGGATTGGGAAATCCAGAACATTTGCCATTATAACAACCATAAGTGAATCCATAATTATATATTCCAGGATCGTTCTTAGTATAGTCAATAATTCCTTGATAATTTAAATTACCTAGGCAATTACTAAATTGTGAACCACCCTTTATTCGTAAAATATTGATTAAAATTAAAAACAAACACCACATTTTATTCCACATTTTATCGTTATAATCGATTAGACGGTAATATCGTTATTATTTAGACAGTGGTATTACCACTTTCTGAGATGAGCTCAAGTAAAAGAGAAAAAAAAGTATCTATGCGTGAAGAGTGCAAAAAGTCGGCAATAAGAATAAATTTTAATTTATATGTATTTCGCTTCAAAAACATCTTAAAAATATCAAAGCGAAGAATTTATCTGATTGTTTAAGAATGATGCAAATCCTGATAGAGATGGTTAAAAAAGAACGATTTAAACAATTATATATATATATATATATATTTTCTACTGTTTTAAAATATCGACAATGTAATAATTACAAACACAGTGCAGATGATATAAATAATTCGCCTTTAATTCCTCCCGTAATATTAAAATATTTAATTCTATAAAAGCAAGGTGTTTAATGAAAAGTGTCTTTATATAGTAATACCGTTAGAATTTTACCTTAGTAGGTAAAATATATCACGGTTTACTGAAGCGTTTATTATTTATAAAAATTTAAACTTTAATAACTCTTGAACGAATAAACATACACAAATAAAATTATACTCGTCAAATCTCCTTAACATGCTCTTTAAATTAATAACACCCCTTTTTACTTTATTTAAGTATTACGTATTAAATTTAATAATTAATTTTCGCCTTATTACAGTCTGGGAATATACCAAAAATGGGGGACGTCTAAAGCCGTGTCCGGTTATATGTTTTTGACTATTTAATAAAAATTAAGGTAAGGGTTAGTTGGGAGTTTAGCATGATTAAAAATCCATCTGATTGATTGTCAATCCTTGAATTTTTATTGGCCGATTAGGATAATCATTCTATATAAAAATACAATCGGTCAGATTAAATTTGTCAAAAGGAAATAATATTAAAGAACAAAATTTTTTTTAAAGTCTTATTAACTGTTTATTATAAAATTTGTTACTTTCAAATAAAAATTATCAAATTTGTATAAGAATAGCTAATAAAATTTTTAAAAAAATTGTTTTTTGCTTTTGGCAAATTTATTTCATCTATATTACAATATAATTAAATATGAATTTAAACAATTTTTAAAAATAGATATTGAAATTATATCTTTGATAAAAATTATCTAAAGCCAGAAATATTTATATAATTAATAACTAACAAGTAATAAAATTTTAATTGATCTAGACCAGCCTAACAAAACAAAACAAAAAAATACAAAAATAAAAAATACAAAAAATAAAAAAATATTTAAACCTGTTTTGAAATACCAATAAAAAATATCAAAAAAACAATTATATTGGCTGATTTTTGGAATTGTACTAAAACAAATATAATTTGTTATTTTTTAAATTTGAATAACTTTTTATCTACTAGTTCATTTTGAATAAACAACTATTAAAATGTTCGTCCCAATGAGATGATTTTAACAAGCACAAAAACATCAAAATCCAAATCCCGAGATCGTTAAGATTTTTACAGAGAAGATGCTCTATAGAGTGGAATAATTGTTAGACATATAATCAACACCTGTTCGACAAGCGAAAAAATTTTGAGCGCATAGTCTGAGCAGCGCAGCATTATACAATCGGTTTACTTTAGTTAAACCTTCTACTTCCAAAGAAAAGTTAGCTGATTCCCTTTAAAAGCAAAAATGTAACAACAACGTTCCATAAAAGCAATTTTAATTAGGGGAAGTTATCCTGCTTGTCCAAACTCTGAAACCCAAATCCGTTAAACACGTGTTTCTGTAATCATGTGATTTTAATTAAACACAACTCGGGTTCGATTTCTTAAGCATGATTTGTAATTTAATTTTTTTTTAATTTCCAGAGTTTCGCATTATTTTTTTAATCAAAAGTTATGTTTTTTTTTAAAAAAAATAAAATTTATCTCCTTGTAGAAGCATTTTCAATTACTATAAATACGTAACTTTTTTTTTTTTTATCTTCACACGCAACATTTTTTTTTCTTTTATCTTCGCGCGTAACATTTTTTTTTCTTTATCTTCACACGTAACATCCTTTTTCTTTTATCTTCATACGTAACATTTTTTTTTTCTTTTATCTTCATACGATGAACGAAGAAATCACACTCGAACAACCTAATAAATAAATGAATTTACCTCCACACCTACTTTAATATTATCACAGCATACACAACAAACAGTCCCTCAAAACGGTTTAAAACTGATTCCTTCTGGGATGAGCTTATTGAAAGTGACGACAAGTAATATTGCAAACATTGCTATCAAGCCTCTTCAATGAATACAGGTCTTTCTACGATAAAAATGCATTTGAAACGTAATTATCTGGATAAGTGAATGAATTAATAAGAAATATTAGTAAAACGAATGTTGAGCCATATAGATCTGAAGAAAATGTTGGCGCTGTCTTTGTTTGAAACGCGGTATGAATTGGGTATGATTGAATATATGAAGGTCAAAAAATAAATCACTGCAATGAAATATAATATATAAATATCGATAATAAAGATTAAGCGAAATGTGCATAATAAATAAATATACAGCAGGTTTTAACTAACATTAAGCGTGCATAATTAATAGCGATAGTATATATATGCATATAAATAGTTTAAAGCAGATTTTGAAACCCAGTTTACGTATGTGGGTTTCAAAGCACATACATAAGCAGGATAACTAATTTTATTTTTTAGCGCTAACTAAATATTAACTACGTACGTAAGTAACTAAATTATCATATATTTACTATTTATAAAATTGTATTTCCACTCACAGAAGTATAAACTATTCCCGAATAGGGAGTCATAACCGATAAAGATCCTTAAGTTTCAGGATTCTACATCATTCTTAAGCAATCGGATACATTTTTCGCATTGATATTTGAAAATACATATATCTTAAATTTTATTCTTATTGCCGATAGTCTATCAACTCTTTGCACTCTTCACGTATAGACACTTTTTTTTTCTCATCTCGGAAAGTAGTCTAATCGATAATA